CGTCCTCCGACCCTACGCCAGGGGGGGGGGGGGGTCGATTTCGTATCCGTGGATCCCTCCTTCAAAAAATCCTGAATCCGCCGCTGTATATAGAACAACTATTGGTGCTGCTTGCGTTTATTTAAAAAGAAAATCTTGGCGCAATATATAATAAGATGTATCGAACACAATATACTTCTACTTATTTAATAAATATTTCATTCCACTTATTCGATAAATGTTATTTTGTGTACTATTAATTACCTTTTGAGGGCCGTGGGGATTGTTTTTTTAATTTACTACGTTCTTACACTTAATCAATAAATTTTAATGAAAATATAAAAAAAAATCATATCTGCTTTTGAACTAACGGCAATGCATTTATTAACATCTCTTAAAGATGTGGATATTTTGATGAAACAGTTGGGGTGTTTTTTTCATGCATGGATGTGTGCGGACGAGTGTGTTCGTAAATAAATAGGTGTGTGGTACATTACGGATATTTAAGGGTTTGATGCGTGTTTATATATAAAAAAAAATAACGAAAAGAGACACATTACCTGTTCAAAGTACTTATATCCATCTCTGTGAACCAAATTTGTGCTATTCTCGTCTGATTTGGCACCAGCATATTCACATAAATCTTCCCCTGAATCGGCTTTAATGTAGTTGAATCCCACACAGCGGGGAGTGTTCGCCGTGCATGCGATGGCGCACACGCTTTTTGTAGACACATATTGGCGTCCGAAGACATTTGTATTCGCTACGTTTTCCCGGCAACTAGGAGGATTGACATATCTGTAGATATTTGTGGACATTTTAGCCCCAACTACAATCCAAACGACCGTAAGCATGAGTTGTAAAATGCAAAGCATGTTTAGATGCATTTTGATACCAACCAGAAAACAACTGTTATACAACAAGATATGATTCCCGTTTAGGATCTCTAGACTGTTATTGCCAAGTGCAGCTACTTATGTGTATCGTCTCTCCGTGTCCACATGATAGGGAAGTTTGACTTACATAAAGAGGACGTTCTAATCCCTAAAACACACGCCAGCAGGCACGATAAGCAATTACAGTGCCATCAGAGTTTAAGATGTCCATAGAATTAAGCCATATCCCTTTCTAAAGAGATCGGAACGCCATTGTGTTCGTATCACAACAGAAATCTCAACAGAACATCGATATGGATACTTTTATATAAAGTGTTCTTAATCAAATGAAGGAATTATTAGAGTGTTTTTCTGTATCATTAATCTTTTATTACGTGTTTTCCTCCGCCAATGACTCTGAAATAGAAGTACATTAAGTGCCTGCGAGTTTAACATGATGACTCCAAATGTGGAGTCAAATTACAATCGATGTCTTCCATGCTTTGATAATATTGTTATATTGTGTTAATAAGCACGGTTACGTAACCCATGTCCAATATAATAACAATAAGGAACCTGCACGCTCCACAGAAGTGGAGAAATCGTTAACCAGATAAATCAAAATCTCTTCATATTTAGTTCAACATTTGAGTCTCTCTCCATACAGGTGTGTGTGTGTGTGTGTGTGTGTGTGCGCGCGTGCGTGTGTGTCACTCCTACAACTGTGACGTAATGATGGGTATATACTGCTGACTAAAGGCAAGACTTTTACAGGTGTGTGTGTGCGTGTGTGTGTGTGTGTGCAAAACCAAAACACTGACTTATAAATTATCTGAAGAAAACACCTTCGTGTATAACAGAAACAGTTGCAGTTATCTGTAAAGAAACCCTACGTGACACGCTCACCCTGTGCAAATTGAGATTAACAAACTCGTTATACCTCTGAGCTTTTGTTGATATTGATCATTCGGAGACCATGCCCATTTGATTTTCAATATCTGTTTTCTTTCTCTACTCTCAAAATACAGTGTTTTTAGGAGTTGTATAGAAAACCAATCACAAAGACAGGCAACATTGATACGTTGGTTAACAGGTCAGGCTGGTTCTAAATGGTAATCACTTTGCTTCACAGTTCTTATTTTCTTCTTTTTTTTTCCAATCAGTATGCTGTGTTTTATTGTAGACTAAAAACAAAATGCAGCCCGCATTATTTCCATTGTTGGGTAAATTAACAATTAACCCGCGGCAAACATTTTATGTCGTTGTTTTGAAGCTTTGCTTGGTTTGACCCCCCCCCCCCCCCAATAAAAGGAGCAAACACCAAGCAGCTACGCTACATGTACTATGGTCCTTAATTATCCATATACCAACCGCGTATATAGTGGGTAACCGTGATTGATTACCAACTTGTCGATTTCGAAACAATGACCAATGTTGGTCTAAATATTAACTCCAAATTAAAAGAAAATTTCGAATGTTTAAGAAAAAAAATTAACATTTTATATCTTTTCAACAATGAATTTTTGTCAGTTTTGGACTTCTACGATTGCCTTTTTTAAAAAATGTTGACTTAATTTTGTGTTTGTTTTTGTTTTTGTTTTTTGTCTTTTAAGAAAACAACACATTTCCAAGTAGAAAGTTTACGTTTGAAAACTGGGGCTCAGCTGACATATGTTTCTGGGTATGCACATGCCCACGTGCAGGCATTTCCACACGTGCCCAAGTGCAGCTGGATTTTTGTAGCACTTTGACACGCAAAAAATGGCTAATTTGACAAAAATACGAATTAATCGATATGCACTACTTTTATATCTTTGGCATTTTGCATTCGTGAACTTTATTCAGGAATCATTACATTGAATACTCTTTTTTATATTAACAAATACACTGTGCGTGTAAGTCGATAATTCAGAAAACTTGGTAATTTGGGGGCTTAAATTGTAAATGCTAGAGTTCCAATTTTACAACCAAACGTAAGAGGGCCCGGAGTATTTCCTTTAAGACACAATCATATGAAATACTAAATCAGAGTTAATATTTTTTTTCATTTCTATGGTAATTGTTATCCTTAAGGTACGAATTCACTTTTTGTTTCACAAACAAAAATGTAGATACACGTAAATAAAGACATTTGGATTTTGAAATGGATTTTGCTTCAAAATAATTCTGTCTTCAAGGCGACGCAAACGATGCAGCCTGACGAAAGTCCCTGAACGATTTATAAGTGAACAATTAAATAATAAAGTTAAATGACAAAAGTTCAATTACTATATTTTTTGCGTATATTCTTTAAGCTGAGATTTTTCGCTGTGAATAATCTGTTTCACAAAAAGTCTAATCTTCAATATGGAATCAACTCCATATTTTCAATAATACTGATTTCAAGGAAGGAAAAAGTCAGTGTTTTCTTTCAGTTATGCTTTCAGTCACAGTTCATTAATTCTACACCAGTACAGCGATTGCACATAATGCAAAACACAGCAATCTCAACAACAACATGATGGTATCAAAGACACTTCCTTTGTTGACTGCGACACGCGGTGCTCCACTGGCCTGCACTTTTGGCAGTGAGACATCGCTCTTGTTCATGTCGTCGTTGACGCCCTTGCAGCGGTGGTACGATTCTTCTCTTGGACACAATACGAATGTCCACTGTGAACTCCCCAAAAGCGTCTGTTTAAGGGTTTTCTCGGCGTCATGTTGGAGAGACCGGGATAAATTTAAACCTACGTCATAACTAGACACTACCGGTAGAAAAATGATAGAAACAGTAACGCGAAAAACGACAAAGGAAGTGGCACTGTCTTTTTGGGAGTCACAGGTGCTCTCTTTAAACCTAACGCGCTCCTTTGCCTCCAGTGCCAATTTGGTATGCTCCAGTAGTAAATCGCATGGCGCCTCTGTTTGCTGTTGTTTTGGGTCCCACCGCAGCGGGATGAAGAAGAAGGTTAACTTGTACGGCACTTTCCTCAGGTTTGTCAACAAGGGGCGACATGATCCCCTGCCAATGATGTAGCCGGGTGGACAAATCTTGCTTGTGGCGTTAACCTGGAGACAACAAAAGTTGCTTCAGAACATATTTTTTTTATTGTCCCCCGGTTTCAAAACATGTCTGAGCTCCCAGGCTACGTTTAAGTAAACAAGTTTACAGGTGGAAATTAAAAAAAAAAATCTTTTATATCAAACAATGAACTGAAACGTATAAATGCGCTTGACGATGCAGATTTGTTCTTCGGATTATGGCTTGTGATTTTTCTCATGCTCGAGCAGAATTTAATTATCATGATGTGAATAGCAATTTTTACAGCTAATTTACAGTTACTTCTTGATTGGAGATGGACACAAGTGATTGTGGACTTACCGTCATAATTTGGTCAACATTGTCCTTCTTCAAATCATTTGCGTAAAGTAAAGCACTAAAACTTACAGGATCAAACTCTTTCGAAGGCCCTTGATCTGCATTCGATATATCTGAAAACAAGTGTTACAATAAATGCAAATGTGTCATCCTTTGAGCCCTGGTCATGTATGTATCTTAATCCATCCCTAGCTATACAACCATCACAACTGACCTCTCTTCCTTTACTTCCTTCATAACCCATCAAACTAATTTTCAACATATATATGGCTTTTGGATTTACATCTCCAATATCAATTGTTCTTCGGGACACTCTGAATACTTTCAATCATTTTCCTCATGCCGATTTTGATGTCCACCATATTAAGAAGAAATGACATAATCAGTAGAATATGACAAATGGAGAGAGAGAGAGAGAGAGAGAGAGAGAGAGAGACTAGTAAGTTCTATATTCAGAAATTGAGACGATTTTTTTTAAATTCTCACCTGTACTGCAGTCGTGATACGCGACATCTGTGTAGCAGTGCATACAATGGTAATTTTTAAAAAATGACTCCCCAAATTGGACCACGTTAGTGTATGACTGACAGGCATCTCTAAGTGGAGAAGAACTGATGTTCATTTGGCTCAAAGGGTCCTGAAGACATGAATCGTACACGTCCGTTCCTCCTTCGGGGAAACATCGGCGAAGTTTGTGCTCCGGATTTGGTATCAAGGTACCGCTGCAATCCAACCACGTCTCTAATATTTGCAGGACACATGCTGAGGAACTGCACTTGGACAGGAACTCTACATCCATTTCATAAGTTCTCAAACATTGAACGAGAAAAAGCCAGTCTTCAGCGTTTTGGACGTCATTGCACTCAGCACAGTAACGGTTTTTGAATATGAGTGCTGACTGTGGATCGGTGACCGGCAAAATGACTTCTAGGTCATCTAAAAGGGTGCCATTGGAAATACTCGTACAAAGCTCCTCAGTCCTGGCGTCCGACCACGAAACTGGACACCGGTCAACCATCCAGAAGTGACCGTACCAATCTTCTCCGTTTATCATTCTAGCGTCTTCGAATCTGGGCGCCGTTGGCGCTCGCCTGCACGTGCTTCTCCTTGCCAGAGCGATGCCATCTGGTCTCCGTGATGCCCATGCTTTAAGAACAACTGATGCGTTTATCAAAACTGACGTCCCTGTGGGGTTAGGGGACCTGGTGACATTTTCGGCCTCGAGCACATTTGGAGACGGCGGCTCTATGGCTGTCGTTGCCGTACATTCACTGTCTGACCCCCAGCAGCAGTCGTTAAAAATTGAACATAATTCATCGCAAGAGCAATGTACTTTAAAATGGTGCGCAGGTTCCGAAGATGGGTATTTTCCACAAAGCCATTCGTGCGGCCTCAGCTGCTGCCCTCTATCGTTTGTGCGCGGGGTTGTCACGTTGGGAGAGCGTTGATCCAACAAGACAGAGGAAGCCATGATTGCCAAACTGGCTAGCAACAGTATACGAACAGAACGTAACGCGATCATGTTGTGTCCCTTGAGAATAGGAAACAGTGACTGTAAGGTTTGCACTCCTCCTTATATGACGCACATTTTATCGTGTCTGGAACTGGTACGCTAATTATCAGTTCACATACTGAAGTACGTTCAACATTCTTGGTTAATTCTACGTGATGGGCTCGTATGTACACTGGTCTTCAAATTCTCTGCACCATACTCTTCCATTAACTTATACCATTTATTTTGCACGGTCGGTTTTGAGAGTTGAATGAACAAATTTCTAAACGTGTTACTATATTTTCACGACCGTTTGTATTTAAGAATTAGCTTTGTTTTGCTTGATCAGAGGCGGTGGTTTCCTGCACTAACGAGATCAACACTTCATTAATAAAAACCGCTCCTCTTCGTTCGCGTTTTTATTAGAGCATATATCTCACGTTTAATTGGCGTAAGAAATGTCACAGCTCAGATTTTGCGTGTCAACCTTTGCGAAAACGACTGATTAGGCTAATTTGTATTATTTTGAACACGGTGGTTTGCTTTCATGATTCTTAATTCTCTGACGTGATTTTGCGGTCCCTTGAGCTTCATCTGTTTTATTAAAAAATAATGATAACGGAAACTGGTAGAGTTTCTAATTAATGTGCTATTCAGGCTGCCATTGAATCCAAACACATACGCCACACGTAAAATGATCATTCATATTTTTCATTGAAATTCATGTTTACCTAAGAAGGTTCTATCTGCCTTTATCCGATACATCTTTTTTTATAATTTTCATCGTAGTGGCTTCACTCTTTGCACTGCCACATCATCATTTTGAGTTCCAAAATTCAGGTAAAAAAAATTAATTACATGACCCGGTTGCACCAAGCGTTCGAAAATTGGCGTAGCAGTTGCGCTGGCGTAAATCCAGCGCAAAAAGCGAGAAAAAGCGAAAAAGCGAAAAAGCGAGAAAAAGCCAGTTGCACCAAACTGGAATAGTGTTTATCTCGGTCTTAATTTAGTCGTATTTACGCCTGCCAGCTAGGTGGTGTATGTCGGTCGAAAGTCATTTTTCACTATGGCTAGGCTGATACATAACAGAGAGAGTTTGATGACAGTTATCGTAATTAACGCAGACAATATGGGTTGTTTATATCCCATCAGGCATACTTGCGTTGGATCAACGTTGAAAACAGGTTGATACGTTGAATTGCCGTTGATCTACCTAAATTCAACGTCAAATCAACGTTGATCCAGCCACGTCGAAACACCGTCATAATGTGCTGCTAAACACATCCAGGCTAATGTTCCGCTGGGTGGGGTTGATATAACATTGTTTTCTGACGGTGATACAACGTTGTTATCTGAGGTTGACACAACTTTCAAATACAACGTTTATTCAATGTCTACTCAGCGTTATGGTTCAACGTTGTGTCAAAGTTAAAACAACATAATTTGCCCGCTGGGTATTTTTGTTTCTTCCACATGTTTGTTTCTTCTAACTGAGCAGTAGCTGCTTGATTAGAACATACACACAAACACACACAAATATTTTGCAATGGACTGATCATTAATATTGTAGACGACGTTAAGCATAAAATGACTGAGTCCTTTATTGACGTATAGATAACACAATTTGTAACAATTTCGTTAGCACAATAGACACCGTGGCACGTTTGTCCTTTGTGTACGTTGGACTCTTTGTACAAATCTAAAAAAAAAAAAAAAATGAAAAAAATGACATAAGTATGCGGAAAACAATATACTCATAGAAACTTATATAAACAAACTACAGTATATACGTTAAATAAAAAGAAATACATTTTACAATTTAATTACTCACATTATATGCTATCTACGGTTCCAAACACAGGTGACCGACCGGTATGCTTGCTACTTGTCTACTAAATTCTCTCGAGATTTCTATATCATGCATACCCAAAACCACGTGACTGATTACTGTTCACCTAACTTAGAGTGACCACAGGGTCATGTTACTTGGCGCACTAACACCTAAACATATTATTTATGTAGCTTTCTCATCGTAAAAAATTTTGTTGAAACAATATGACTAACGCGTTTTTCATATTTCAACAATCAAACAAATCAATCAATCAATCAAAGATTTTACTTTAATAATATTTTGATTTGGAATATATTAACGATCTTGTTGATATATATCCAAGGCAACAGCAAAGTAAACATATATCAAAGTTTTAAATTCTAAATCAAAAAGGAATAATGAAGCTTCTGAATCTCTCCATCACTGGAATTCTCATTTCGTATCTTTTTGATGTCGTCATCCTATTATGATTGCAGCTGTGAATTCCCCAATTTTCTTCGATTATACCATCCACGTATTGCTAGGCAGTCCCGCAAGAAAACGCAGTAGATACTCCAGCGCGGTAGACTACTGCAATCATGCTTCAAATCTGCTTCGATTTGGGAGCTGATTAGCATATTTGAAACATGCTCCTATCATGCTGCTAATCTACTGCATTAATGCTCCTCTCTGTACAAACCTATGTACTTTTTGGAGTAGAATTGCAGTAGGCTATGCTGCATTTCTACTGCAAATATGCTCCACACCACTACTGCGTTAATGTTTTTTGCTACTTCGATACTACTGCATTTACGTGCGGGGTGACATAACGGAGCGCTTCTCGGGCGAAGTTAAGACGGTGGTTCTTTTTTTTTTTTTTTTTGTCTTGGTTCAAGGGGCGTAAGCAGGGAGAGTAAACCTGGCGCACGGACGCCAGGCGTTGCGCATTACGACAGTTGTACCCGAGCAAATGTACGCCCCGTTGGTGCAACCGGGCTCAGGGTTTTTCTTAGCCATAGATAACACCCATGTCGTGTCCGTCATTTCTATCCATTTTAGACAATGGATATTTGGAATTTTACAGACAGATGTTTGTCAAAAGCGGGGTTAAAGTAATTCTGTATGATAATGACTCCTACTCCTGTACTTGTTTAAAGAGACAGAGCTTAGCTCTTATTACGGCCTTGTGATATAATTAACTGCAAAATGCAATGAAACGCAACAGTGGCAACTTCAATTCTGTGGAACACTTAACGTATGTTTAATGAAGGATTCGTCTAGAATGTTATCATAAAACCAAACGCAATATGCAACATTTAAAGGTTATACTATCGTGGTGTTTTGGTAAACAATATGCATCTGAAAAATGTGCGTGTGTGCGTGCGTGTTCAGGTGCGTGTAGCCCATATAAGCTGTCGCATCAGTTAACCTAACCGTCTCCAATTTAACTATTATTTATAATTTCAGTTGAGCAGATACTCGCAAAATGTCGGAACTGATGTTCTGTAATTGAACCCATGCTATGTACAAAAGGCATCAAATACATTCAGTTTTGTTATGAAAAATATATATGATATGGTAACTATGAGTGCCACGCAAACAGCTAATTAACACGTCTGTGAAATATAGTGCATTTCATCTACAGTATGTTTTCGCGATCGAAAAGATAAAACTGTTTATATATTTGAATAATTCACATCTAACACAGCGAAACCAGATATTTTGTTGAGTAAGTGAATAAATGATATGATAATTACCGGCCACGTTATGCCCGCATTCAGAGATAAGCAACTGCCAATCTATTCTTTTACCGGTAAAAACACCTGTTGCTGCTTGGTTTACTGCTGTCGACAGCTGTATAGAGTAGATCGTACAAATGGAGAGATCACAGGCTCCGTTCCGATGGGGGGTAAGTTTTAAATCTAAAGAACATGTCGATATACCAAACGGTTGTATGGGTCTCTCTCTCTCTCTCTCTCTCTCTCTCTCTCTCTCTCACACACACACACGCGCGCGTGCACATCCGTTCATCGAACAACTGACAGTACAAGACACACGTTTACAAAAGGGAAGCGCAACTCATCGTTTACTCAGACAAATCACTTATTTTTTTAACCTAATAAACATGATATTGACTTGTTTTCTGATCTTAATAGCATGACTGAATACGAATATGTTGATGTTTTATCTGCATTTGCATACCTTTTTTAAATCATCGCGTGAACTCTACACCGTCTACAGGAAATGATATTATAGGGTCCTTGTCCAAGAATTGTGGACAGCATAGAAATGTTATATGTAGCGCTTTCATTTAGCACACCGGTGTAATATGAATTTATATTTCAACATATGAATGACACTTATCGATTATTTAATGTTGTTATTTGTTCAAGAGGCATCTGGATTAACATGGGTTCTGAATTCGCGTCAGGGCGAGTAACGTTGGACACAGGTTTTTTAAAAACATATTTATTAACACATAAACATACATACATACATACATACATACATCCGCACGCATATACGACCTCACGCCCGGCCGCACGCGCGCACAAACACACATACATGCTTGCATTGTACATTGCTATACATGTCTTTGACTTATTGTGTTAATATCACAATAAGAGGCATTTGTGATACCGTAATATTAGAATACAGAAACTCATCATTTTGATTGCAGTTCCCGCGTAGTCGAGGTATGTGTCGCTTCAGACTAGCCGTCATAGTCCCCCTGTTCCTTCTTACCACTGCTGGCATAGTCTACGTCGAGCAGCTCTCCACTATCCACGCCTTAATGACCCGACTGGACCGGCTAGAACGCAGTCACGGACTCCTGCTTGCAAAATTACACCAGTCCTCTGATCCGGTCCTCTCGGACATGCGTGTGGTGCCACCTACCTACATGACCCTAGCGCCATCTATGGTCTATAACACACCGCCACTGCAGACAGGTGACAACGATGGAGTGACGCTCGATTACCCAACGAGAGACTTCGTTCCAGAAATAGGTAACCGTGAAAATGAAGAAAATGAGGACCTTCCCGATGAGGAAGACGCTATAATCATACCTAATCGCCCAGAGGGGCAAAGTGACGCAGGGTTGTCGGTTGAACGTCTGAACGTGCAAGATCAAGGGTACAATGACGGGCAGTTAAATCAAGGCGGTGGATTCCCCAATATGAATGTTCCAAATGACGGCTTAGATTTGGGTCCAGGTCAGATTCTCTTGGGACCTCAGCCAGTCCAAAATGGAGGTGTGCCTTTACAGCAACAACAACAACAGCAACAACAACAACTACAACAGCAACAACAACTGCAACTGCAACAGCAGCAACAACAACAACAGCAACAGCAGCAGCAGCAGCAGCAGCAGCAGCAGCAACAACAACCACCATTGCAGCAGTACCCACAGCTACCACAACCAAATCCACAGCTAACTCAGCAAGAGCAACAACAGATTCAGCAAAACCAAGTTTTACAACAGGAGTACCAGCAAAGGCAGAACGAGCACATTTTGCAAGAAGCGCCGTCTATAGTACGGGATCTGTCGGCAGGACGACAGATGGCGCCGAAGATCACGCCTCAGCAGGCAGATAACAGTAACAAGGAATTAGTGAGGTTCCAGGCAATGGTGAACTCGTGGCCGCAGGGCAAACCCAAGGCGGTAATATTCTATCTTTTGAACGCTCGGCGGATTGCCAAATTTAGGGAGGCCATTCAGAGTCTAGACCGGTGAGTGTAAGAGCTAGATTCCAATAGTTGTACGCCTTAATTTTGTAGGTATATAATAATACATACAAAATTATTAAAGATGTTGCAGCATTTTAGTCAAGTGCGTCACATACGCAATGGAATTTTTTGCTACATATCCACTGAGCTGTGCCAGAATGAAGAGCATGCACATTAATCGCAGGCCTTAGAAACGGATTTTCTTACTCTCACCTCATCACACCTGCCCATATTAACGACTCCAGCCCCAAATTAAGAACCCTAATTTCTTTACACAACCATGCATTGAATCACATAAACCGTTTGTCACCTTATCTACTCATTCGGTACTTTCCATATGAGCCGGAAATAGTCAAGAACGCATTGATGCCGAATAAAAAAAAAGCCACGAGTGAAATCTGACAAAATTGTTTGTGTGATAAAACGCTGGGCTTGTGTAAAGTAGCTTTACGTTGGGTTGCTTAATTCGTGGCTCGAGTCGTTAGATTGTTCATTTGTGTTCCCAAATCTGAAGCTCGTGCTAGTAAACGACAATTGTCGTTCATGATGCCTGAATAAGTCCTGTTCATATTCTTCTTCTCCTTATATTATTATTATTATTATTATTATTATTATTATTATTATTATTATTATTTTTATTATAACGATTTAATTGTTTTTAAATGATAATTACGTACACTTTTCTCCACCCCCAGGTTTTTCAACAGCCATTATCGCTATCCAGTTATTCTGTTCCACGAGACTGATTTAGTGGAGAGCCACAAGAAGATCATCCGTACCTGGACCATATCGGATATTTATTTCCAAATACTAGATTTCTCTATACCGGATTGGGTGGATAGACCACCAGAAGAGTGGCTCCACACGTGTGGGTTCGCTGGTCTAGACAGCCGCCATCTTTGTCGTTTCTTTGGCGTCCTCCTCCCCGACCAGCCCATCCTTCAAGGAATTGACTGGTATTGGCGGCTGGGGGACGACGCCATCCTCCTCTCTGACGTCACCTATGACGTATTTCAGCACATGGAGGAACATGAATTCACGCACGGGTACGTCCGATTGGCTGTTGCCAAGACGAACGACTGCATCGAAGGATTGCGTGCAAACAGCACCAGGTATATTCAACAAAGCGGTTTGCGGGCAACTTTTCTCGATCGTCTACCGGAGACGCTTAGCCTGTATCCTAACTTTGAAATTTCTCGCTTCAGTTTTTGGAGAAACCCGATGGTTAAGGCATATATTACTTACATAGATAAAACTGGTGGTATTTACTACAAACATTGGGGAGACGGAGCAGTGAAAACCACGGCGCTTGCCATATTTGAGAGCATAGATAAAATTGTGCTGCTTAGCGATATAAAGTACCAACAAAAAACAGGGGCTTCGGATGAAAATCAGATATATATCAGTTCGCTTGAAAAATATCTCATACCCACCGTACTCTAGTACTATCATACCCATACTTTGTAGACTATTGGAAACAGCATTATTTTTTGAGGAACATATTTTATGAAGGACAGCTGAAGTAAGCCACGGACTTAAGTTTTGAGTATATTTGTGTGGTGAAAGTAAACTGTACATATTATTTCATGTCTGCGTTGCTGACAGGTGTATACGTATGGTGATTGTGGTATACGTGGTGTAGTTGTGTAAATAAAACATGATTGCGGTAGTTGTGATTTGTGGTTGCATTCGGATTTGATAAAGAAGTGAAAAAATTCAGAACGCGCAATTAACCGTTAGGCAGACAGCTTACACAAAGCTGACTTAATTTTGACAGGATGGGGGCTAAACATATTTGGAAGTGTTAAAAAAGTTGCTAATAGGTGATTTACATTGTTTTAATCACTGGGCGATTGATACTTATAATTATGAAAGAACTTCTTAAAGTGCTGGCATGAGCCAACGCAATGAAAATTTCATATCTTTTAAAGTTAAGATCCCCATCTTCATTTATCTTCATACCAAAAGCATCCCCTAAGCCAATTTTACTGCTGATTCGACTGCAGGCATTTGGCTGTCATATGGTGCTGTAAGTTAATCACGTTAACGCGTGATCAGAAAAATGTTAAAAAACACGATTTTCTGGCATTTCAAAGCACTCAAGCAACATATTTTAATGACAGTGAGCAATGGTTTCGTATAATCGTATAACCGATCACAGGTTATTTTCTTAGCTAAGGTGTTTTCATAAAAAAAAACTTGGTCGATTGGTAAATCATGGTAAATCATATTTAATATACTGAAAAATAGTTCAAATTACCAAAAGGTGACACAGACAAACTATATCATTTGAAAATTAGAAAAATATTTCTTGCTATAGCATACATAACAATATTACCAAATGTGTCATAAAATGCTGCTATAAGCAGTGGTATGGCACGACAGCAATGGACAAATTTAAGTGTTTCCCTTAACACACACAATGCAAAACCTAAAACTGGTGCATTTCCATTATCTAATTTGTAACTGGATTGTCAGTTTGTGAATGAACAAGTATATATACATTTATGTAATGAACAAACAGATGTACCAGTTTAGTTACTAATAAAATATTCAAGCTAGGCAGTGATATTTAACTTCTTAGTGTGATTATAGATTTACCATAGACGCAAACCGTGAAGCATATGGCTACAATCATAAATTACACAATATAAAGCAGTTCAAATTCACATGACAAATATTCTAAAAATTACAAAAATGGCACCAAAGGCGGTAAAAGAGAAGCACTGGTTCTACACATATTTAACATTTAAGATTACAAAATGCCAACTGGCAATATTAAGAGAAAAGTTGGTCACTATGAATATATATAATTTCACCCATATCATATTTTTTCACAAGTTTACTACAGCATCACACCAAGAGTGCCAACAGTAATCTGAATGGCAAATGTTTTGTACATCATGATTAATAAACATATATTACATATTAAAAGAGAGAGAAATCACAAACCATTCAGATACAATAAAAAAGATCGTGCTCATGTTAAAAACCTGCATATCATCTAAGAATTTTAGATATCTAAGATATCTAAGAATTTAAGATGAAGTTAATAACAACGCAACAAAGGAGACATTGTTAAACAGGTGTATAATATTGTGTGTTCTACTGCTATGGTGTTTACTTTTTCTCAAGAGGTTATATCCCGATCTAAAAACCTACTATAAAGAAATAATCAGATTATTTTCGTTCCACCATTTTCATCGACTTTTGTCTTGAAATGCATTATCTGGTGTGGTTTCTTTTGTCTTTGCACTTTCGTTGAGTATCTGTCAAAAATACACTATCATAATTTTTCTTGGGAATTTTATAATTTTTTTCAAAACTTGCTCTACCCTTCTTCTACGATTGTAATAATCATTACGAAGATGGTCGTGTTCGCTTGCTCAGGACGCCAACTGAGAACTTAACTTAATATCGACCTAACCGTGCCTGTGATGGCTTTCCTACAAATGGGACACTGCATCAACTCAGGAACGCACTGGACACAAGCGACAAGATGGCTGCACGGCAGAAATACCACTCCAACTTCTCTGTCCAAACATATCTTACAGGTGCGAGTTTCTTTCAGTCTTTTGTTTTCTTGTTCCAGGCTGTTGCGTTCTGAAATCAAAGAGCTGAATTTCAAGTCTTTTGGAATCCATTGAACGTCACGTTTTTTTTTCATGACTTTGAGACCACATAAGACGTTTTTTATCAATAGGTTTTATGTTATTCCCAACGTATATAGATGTATTTATTTCAAATGTTGAAAACAGACCTCATTTATAACAAATATGATAATTGGCAGGGGTTTACTGAAACAGCAACAGCGTGTATGATACTATAATATTTAATTTTAACATCATTGGATCATTATTCTTTGTATAAGTGGACAATGTTAAAACGTGCCTTAAGCCTCGGTCATAACCGGCCGTACGGGCTCTTACGGGCTGTTTACGTAAAATTTTGCGCAGAATCTCACGTCCCACGCAAGTCCTTCTTACGCAATTTCGATCTCGCAGACAGCCCGTAAGCACTTTCGGAGGATGTTGGACATGTCCAAAAGATTCTACGAATAGCCTGCGAACAGCGAGGCCGCAAGCGTAACTTGCTCCCCTCGCACGGAGTTAGCAAGAAAGACACGCGTTGTGCAAGACGCATGTCGCAAGCAATAAAGTAGCCCTCTGCGTGTAGAGTAAGGCGCATGCCCTCACAACTAACGGAAAAAGTCGAGAGCACGCCTGGTGTATAAAAGACGTGCTCACGACGCACGCTCGTGTCTTTACAATGAACTTCGAATGCGTAACGTGTACAACAATTTTCAAAATTTTCAAATGTTTGCTCAATTTATTTTCTAATATGCCTCCAAAAGGCAAGAGAAAGAAAATTACATAGTAGAAAAAAAGGAGAAGGAAGAAGAGAGAAGAAGAGAACAGGAAGAAAAACTGACGTACGCCGTCAGTACGTCACCACAAATGTGTGAGGTAAGTGTTAAGCAAAACTGACGCAAAGGGTACTTCTTTCGCCATGCGTTGCATTCACTTCGTAAGTGGTGAGTGTGTGCCACGTACACAGGAAGGAAGACAAACTCAAGAAATGAGTACAATTTCCACGGCCATCGCTCCTTGCAATTAGCGTCCCTGCTTGAAAGGACATCTCATGTGGCCCTTGCAACTCGCAAGGCAGACTTTCCTCTACCTCTACGACCTCGACGGCCTTCGCAAATCCCAAAAATCGCAAGTGACGTACGATCCTGAAATTCGTGCGTCCGGTTGTAAATGAGGGTTTAGTTACTGTTGTCTCTCATGTGCAGGGAGGTTACAAAGCATTTGCAAAATAAATGTTCAATTAAGACACCATGCTTCAAAAATTCACACCAGGGTACGTGCCCACTTTTCTATTTGGTAAACAGACGAAGAATAAAGATATGGGCTGCAAGAAAAAAAATGCATGGACCGTAAGGAATGGCGATATTTTGTATTTTCTGATGAGCCCATCTTCACAGTAAACAACGTAGGTGGACGGATGAGTGTATGGAGAAAATCACCCACTTCTTTATGCTTGGGGTTATATGCATTTTCACACCTGATAGCCCACTTCAATAATGGTTTGGGGGTTTCACTGGTCTTTATAGTTCAATACCTTTGCCACCCCACTGTACAATTCAACCTGTAAGGGTGTATATTGTTTTGTATTGTATAAGGTATAGATATTAAGGCAAATATTACACTATTTGCACACTTTATTTAGTCTAACTACGTAGTGTAAACAACTCAAATATGTACCTGCACTGTGCGCCATAGAGGCGTTCTGACTTCTCGAAGCCTCAGTCAGTTTTTGTGAGTGCGAACCAGGTTCCTCCTGGGGAATTACTACCATCTTCAAGGCCGTTTCCTCATTCCATAAAACGGAACCTGGTGATCTGCCTGCGGTGTTGGTTAACTTTCTATTATCTACCAGACGCCCAGTTGACTGATTTTCAGGAGTGTCCAGCCTCGCATTGATCTCCCACGCTTGTGCCTGAGGGGCATAATTTTAATAAACGGTATTAAAAGTATGAGAAAGGATATAATGAAAAATTATAAGCAAGTAATTATAATACTACCAAGGGTTGTATGCCGTAATTGCTGCAATCAATGATGTTTCTCTTTTTGTAAAAATGTAATAACTTTTTTAATATGACATTACTCATAAATGAAATGCATGCATCTTTGATGTTATATAACAAAAATCAAGCCTCACCACTCGTATCATGCCCAATACAACTCAATGTTGAATAAGAAACAATTCTGTTTCTGTTAAATATTTTATGTTACCTGTATAAAACAGTGCGTTTTAATGTATGCTTACCGCGCTGATGAATGGATGACGTCCTTCGTTCTTTTGAATACACGTATCCACCTTGCACTGGCGAACAAAGCCACAGCGTGCTCAGTCCACGGATCCTCTAGAGAGTCCAAATTTCTTCGTCTTTCGCCACAGAAGAAGCATTTCACGGTGTCACTTTCGCCTATTGTTAACACATAAATAAATAAATAAATAAATAAATAATAGAAAAATATATTATATACCTATTCATCATACTGTGCAGCAAATCAACATTACGTTACACTGACCCCCTTTTTGAAACACAACGAAAGGTCCAATACCCCGTTTTATTAGCCAACATTTTAGCAGATATCCATAATCTTAAGCTCCCCGAGAGTTGCCTAAAATCAATCATAGACAGCAAAAAAAAAAAAAAAAAAAAAAAAATTAAGCACTTTATAATGCATATACCCTTTTGTTGATGAAAGTCAATCAAAATCCTCTCAGAAATATAAAAATCGGCAGTTATAACCATTGACATACCTACAATTGAACAACTTTCTGTTTTGAGGTGGTACAACAATTTGTATATATGGGGTTTATATTTTGGTAGTACGCTTATTGTACAACAGAGAGGGTTTGCATCCATTTGTTTGGAAATGGTAAATCAAATATATCACTTAATCGATTATTTGACATAAGAAATAAGGGATTAGTAGATAACCCCCCCCCCCAAAAAAAAAAAAAAATAATAAATAATAATAATAATAATAATAAATAATAAAAAAAAAGATTTACCGTTGTAAAAGTAACCGGCGCTGGCGAGAATCTCAGCGAGCTGAGTGTGATGAC